ACCACCTCCAACCCTTCTTCCTCCTCCATCACCCACAACCGTCTGCCATAGCCGACCAGCCCCAACCCTTCTTCCTCCTCCATCACCCACAACCGTTTGCCATAGCCAACCACCTCCAACCCTTCTTCCTCCTCCATCACCCGCACCCGTCCACCATAGCCGACTACCTCCAACCCTTCTTCCTCCTCCATCACCCACGCCCGTCCACCATAGCCGACCACCCCCAACTCTTCTTCCTCCTCCATCACCCACACCTGTCCACCMTAGCCGACCACCTCCAACCCTTCTTCCTCCTCCATCACCCACACCCGTCCACCATAGCCGACCACCTCCAACCCTTCTACCTCCTCCATCACCCACACCTTTCCACCAAAGCTGACCACCCCCAACCCTTCTTCCTCCTCCATCACCCACACCTTTCCACCATAGCCGACCACCCCCAACCCTTCTTCCTCCTCCATCACCCACAACCGTCCGCCATAGCCAACCACCTCCAACCCTTCTTCCGCCTCCATCACCCACAACCGTCCGCCGTAGCCGACCACCCTTAACCCTTCTTCCTCCTCCATCGCCCACACCTGTCCACCATAGCCGACCACCTCCGACCCTTCTTCCTCCTCCATCACCTACACCCGTCCACCATAGCCGACCACCTCCAACCCTTCTTCCCTCTCCCCCGTCCACGGCATCCACCCGAAAAGTCCTAGAGGGTTGCAAGGGGGGAGACGTACGGGACTTCGAGGTAGGGTCGATTAGGGTGAGCCAAGGACCGGGGTCGATTAGGGACTGGAACTTCATGATTCTCTCATCGCTCTCTCTCTCTCTCTCTCTCTCTCTCTCTCTCTCTCTCTCTCTCTCTCTCTCTCTCTCTCTCTCTCTCTCTCTCTCTCTCTCTCCCTTCTTCCGTCCCCTAAGCCCCCTTGAACCTTAACTCTTCTCGTACCCCTTCCCCTCCATGGCATGTGACTAACCTCTTCCCTCACCTGTTAGTGCCAGGGAACGAACAGCAAGGAACTTGACCCTCACTTGGTGGAAAGCGAGGGCAAGGGGAGGGTTGTCGGTCCCTTGTGCCACCAAGAAGGAAAAAGCACCGGGCTTTTGTGTGCATGTGGGAAAGCGGAAAAGAGCGGAGTCTTGTGAGAAGGTCAGTTTGGCTCAACCATCCTCCCGGACTGCATGACTAAGGCCATTGCATGACTTGCTTGTGGGAAAGGGAAGGGAATTCATAAGGGGGGTTGGGCAAAAAGAAAGGGGGCTTAGGACTGCGGGAAGGGGCGATGTGTTGACCCCACTGGGGATTGTACTTGGTCATTTGTCTTATGTGGTCTTGCGCAGGTAAGTAGCTTGAGACGATTCGGACGGGGCTGGATCCACGGATGAGGACTTGGGTGGGAGAATGGCTAAGGAAAGGACCTGGGCCCAGTCTAAGCCGTAAATGCGGGTTGAGCTGAGGCCAGCGCTTGGGCTGATGTTTGATGCATGAACTTGGCTTGTGTGGGGTTGGATGGAATGTCTCTCTCTCATGTGCAAAGCGACGCCTGAGAAAACCAATGGTTGTCTTGGGTAGATGGATGTGATGCTAGTGGCTCTCGCAAAAAAAATATTTAGCGGCTAGGGGTCTGGGCGTCGCCGCCTCACCCCAAGGATGCCGCCCGGGCCGGCTCGAGCTACTAGGCTTAGTGAAAGGGTGCGTGGCCCAATGTATGACGCTTGGTCTGCGCACGGTAAGAAGATGAGATCTCAATGAACCCCCTGGACTGCTTGCGTATTGGAAGGAGCAATTGCCTGGTCAGACTTAACCGAATCGAGAAAAACGCCGCGAGTGCCAAAAAGTTACCATCTTGATGCGAGAGCGGAGCTACAACCCCCAATGTAAAATTCTCTCGCAAAAGGTCCATCCCCATCCATCTCATAGCACTAGGTGGGGGTTCCCCTGGGTCGAACGACCCGCGCCCTGAGCGTGAGCGTGGGCGGGTCGAGCCAAGTGGGACCCGCAGTGGGGTCGACCAAGGCTCGAAAGTCCTACAGGGTATGACCCCTACAAAAATGGTGGAGGTGTCGGGTATGGGTTTAACTGACCCTGACGATCTCGAGGGGGGCGCCCGACGCATGACTGCGTACATAACTGAAGAGAAGGAATGAGGACTTGTGTGTGCTCTATCGCTTTGAGCGAATCAGATTTGAGGGTGGCTGGGCGCATGGCAAGGCCAGGCCTGGAGGAAGAACACGCATGCTTGCACTTTTGATCAGCCATCTCCTTTGGAGATGACTCTAGTCCCACTTCCCTTACACTGATGTTCGTAAGGCCGGGGAAGCCTTGGGCAAGCCGCAGGTCGACCCTTCCTCTTCGTGCGAAAGAAGGGTTCTGGTTACCTGGCAGGTGGTTGGGATTCCGGGCTAGTCCGGATTCTCATGAGTATCCCGCGGCGGAGTGATCCGACCGACACGGGTGCCTTCTTCCTTTTCTTCGGAGCCCAGCGGGTTCCGTACACCGCACTTAAATGCTTGAAGGAATCTCATATGAATACAAATGTTAATCGAGAAGGAACAATTCCGCCCTATGAACGGACACACAAGCGAAGATAAGGGAATAAAGGGAGTTGCTAGACTCCAAGAAAAACTAGCTCACCCTTGAAGATGCTCACGAGAAGGAACCGGGCACTGTGCATGGAAGTTAATGGTGAGTAACACACACTGTCCTGAGAGAAAATCGGTGAGCAATGGGTAGGAAGCGTTGGGTGCACCAGGGGAAAAACACTTGTGTTATGTGTGTCTCACTTGGGGTTTGTGCTTGCATGATGGGGATATTGAGTGTCCTGCCATTTGGAAGGAAAGGTGGGGTCTGCACCGACCACTGCGGGTTGCCAAACATCGTTCTCTTTGCAGACTGCCGTTTGTTCGTATGCGGGGGTCAAGCCACCGAATTGTCTAACGGGAGTTTGTCACGTAGAGTGCTTATTAGCATTCTCGTCCGCGCGGTGACGGGCTTCAACTCGATTGATCTGTCGGGCGGGGTGTGAAACGTTCCTCAGGCGGGGCCTAGCCTGTGGACTGGCGGAGGGAGCACCACTGCATGGGGGCAAAGACGGAGCCTGGGAGGCGATCAGTAGCTTCTCGTAGCCTGGTTTGGGAAAGGCTGTTCCTTATCGGACCGATGGAAGTGAATGCCTAGACGGCCGCCTCCAATGGCCCTACCGACATGTGCAAGGTGATTCCCGAGATTAACGGTGGGTACACGAGCGGCAAGTCGGGATGGGGTATTCAGGGCAAGAAGGTGAGGGCGACCCCCCACTGGAGTCTGGGTACCGCGCTCGCGACGGTTGAGCTGTGCTTGAGGTATGGGATAAAACCCTGCCAATAGTAACAGTGGAGAGACCACTTTGGGGAAAAGGCCGGTGAGGAGATGACCGGCCTGTGTGCGATGACTGCTTGGTTTTTCTTTTTGTACCTCTCTCTGTGAAGCTGTCTGATGAGTGTTAGAAGGGGAACTAAGTTTCTAGTCTATTCTCAACCCCTGCCTAAGTCTGCACGAGTGAGAGAACATTAGGAAGAGGCAGGATAGGAGTCGGAAGAAAGTGGAACCAAGAAAAAGGAATGCGAGCCACTGGTGATCGATTGGGGGTATGGTAGGGCAATGGCACATGGGAAATGGATAAGAAAAGTTAGGGAGACCCGGATGAGGGGTCTGAAAACAACTCTCATCTAGAAAAGGAAAGAAAACCATCTGGCCATAAGGGACCGTGTGGTGCTCTCATGTGGAAACAGGACAAGCGCCGGGAAACAAGATGGCGCGATGGTTGTCGCGTCTTGTCTAATGTAGTGGTCCGGAAATGCCTATAGAGGTAAGGGATGGGGTATCTGTTGTTTTTTCGGAAGGTGGGACATGGACCGACCTAGAACCAGCCTATGAAACCGTGATGCTGGACGAGAAGGACGCGTTCCTCTGATAAAGACAATCTGGACTAAGGTTAGCCTGATGGACCTAGAGTTCCAGAGAACAGTGGAAGCTCGAGGATGAGCCTACGTATCTCAGGAAATGGAAAATGCAATGGTAGTGGGGCAAGTATTGGGCACGGCACCAGAACAGTTGTTTAGGCAAGCGGAACGGGAGGTGATATGGGCAACATGTCAACGGGCGGAAATGGAGATGGAAAAAATGGAGGTGCGAGTGGAACTCGGGGACCGGAAAAATATGAGACGCCCCCTTAGGACGATGAGATGTGTGCTACCCCCGTTTCTGGTGGATGCAGTCTTTGGGACCAGGGATAGATTGGAATGGATATGCCGGTCGATGACGCGTCTGAGGCTGTATCAATGTGCTAGATAGGACTTCTTTAAACTGTCGGTGGAAGCAGGACCGTTTGAGGGAAACTGGGCGGAAAAGTTAGCTGAGGTATTAAACCTCCTCAGCGCAGACAAAATATTTGTTCCCAGCCCGGTGCATTGGCGGATAGTTTACCGGAATGTGGCGGCGGGTGAAACCTTCCTGGAAGGAGTGAAAGAGTTGTTCTTGGACGAGGAGGAGAATTTTAGTGACGATGAGGAAGAGGGTGAGATAGAGGATTGGGACTTCTGAAAAGGGGAAGAGGCTTACCCGGGGATGAGCGGTCGACTATGTGTAGGAAGGGAGCGATGGCCCGGGAGCACGAGTTGTGGGACTGCACACCCAAGGGATGGGAACCGAAACGAATTGGGAGGGGAGTGAAGATGTCTATACTGCCAAGTAATGAATGGAAGGGGACCACATGTGACTGGCGGGGGTATGAAATTGTGTCGGAACTGTCGTACCTATGGGAAGAACGTGTTTGGAACCCGTTGAGGGAAGAGGAAGGATGGGAAGAGATTGTGGAGGGCAAAGTGGAATCAGTTGGGACTGTCGTTCTGTCTAAGCAAGGTTGGCACCAATTTTGTACGACGCAGGCTGCAAGACAGGACCCTATGTGGCTTCTAGGGGACGCAGAGGCAAAAGCTCGACGAGCGGGCGAGAGGTTTGCAACCAAAGGCTGGGATACGGTCAGTAGTAGAGTCGTAATGGGAGGTTGGAAGGAATTCAGGCCCCCTTGCCGACAAGTCAAGACCTAGGTACCCGATTTCGTAGCAGACTGGTTTGGGGGCTTCGACCATGTTAGGGAAGTAGCCAGCACCATGGGGAGAGTGCATGTAAATTGCGCCTGGCTGACGGAGGAATTCTATAAAACGTCGCTGAAGTCTGGACCTCTCCATGGCGATAGAACCTGGGAGGTCCTCATCATTTTGGACATCGAAAGGAATGACCGGATGGAGGTGGCCCCGGAAACCAGGGAGGTGATAATTCATCGTGAGGTGGCCGCCACACCCTGCTATGTAGATGACGTGTTCAAATTGTTCGAGGTACTATGGTTCAATTGAGGGCGGGAAAAACCGCGGAGCCGGGCAAGCGTGAAAAACACTGCTAAGATAAGAAAATGGGATGCCTGGCTGATGTAGGGGCCCGGTGCGGGAGACCAAGGGCGAGCGCACGATGGCACGAAGGATGACTTTTCTTGAGGAACGCCCCCTAGACATCGAGCCGCCTAGGGAAGTAGAGGGTGGGGTAGAGATCAGTTTGCCGGCGGCAAGTGGGGGATGGCACCTGGTGGCAGATTGGGTCGGAGTCGAACTTGCGGAAAACATGGTTTACTTGGTGACGAAA